CGTTCGAACCCAAGGCCAGGCATTGTATCACCGCTGTCTGAGTCCATCAATCCGCACCACAGTGTGACCTGTCTCATAGATGGGAGATTAAAGAAAGGTAGGTAATCGCTCGCCTGGGATGGTACCCACTGGTCGGGTGGAACGATACTAAAATCATAGAGCTCCTGCAATATGGATGTGAAGGCTGCCTCTCGTGCTGCTGCCCGTGTCACGATACTGCGAATGTATCTGCCGATAAGTGACGCAGGCTCCACGATGAAACCAGAAAGATTCGGCAAGTATGTTAGAAGAACAGCAATCCATGCATCGCAGCCGCCTCTAAGCAACTCCTCTTCCCATTCCGTGGTTTCTTCTGCTGACTGGCCCATCTCTGCGATACGGCTGCCGATGCTAGAAATATCATTCCTTGCGACCTCAAAGTTGGTATTTGACGCTTTGATGTTTAAAGCGACGATAGACGTCGCAACAGATGGGTTACTCTGGACAGTGACCAGGAAAGGCTTGATCTGCTTCTCATTCAACCTGATCACGTTGTAGACATCAGAAAGAAATAACGAACGCCAGTGCCTACACACAAGAAGCAGAGGCAAGTAATCCATGTACTCAGAGCCTTGTATATTCTCTTCCCCAATAAGTAGTAGAATCTCATTTGGCAGCTTTTCCATGTTGAATTTAGGTTTCGGAGGAATAATCAGCGTATCACTTAGTTGATTAGCCCCGTGATGGCCGAGGGATGGCTTCCTGGTCTTGATGCTCGGGCCAGACAGAAAAAGGAGGAACTAAAGAGAGCTTCACTCTTCGACGAATTTGTTAGCTGATAAAGTAAGAGATCAAGAGAAGTGATACCCGCGGGTATCAGGCATGGAAGGAACTTCCTTACCTTGAGATGAATCATCCGTTACTGGCACAGTAGGCTTCTGACATGCGCTACTAAGGGGTGACGGTGATTGTAAATGACCTCCTGACAAGCTCGAAATAAGATGAGAGCCGACTGGCCGAGCCACGATGTTGAGGTCAGCACTTTGCAAGTGAGAACAGTTCCACAGCAGATTCTGGTAAGTCAAAGCTTGTGACGAGTGGTATAGAAAGAAGAGAAAGGTAAAGATAAGGGTTAGGATTCGTTGGTTGTTTATTTGAGAAGTAGAACAGAACGATCGCGGAATTCGAGGAGTTGAGGGAGGTAAGTGAGGTGGTGCTGTAAGTGGATTCGGCGAGAGCGTGAGGGAGGACTAAGTGACCGACCACTTCACCTTCTGTCTTCTATCCTGTCTTCCACACTACCCCCAACCTTTCTTTAAGTCTCTTCGTTTATTTCCTCTGTGCAGCAATCTCAACTACTCTCTGAGTCCCAAATTGTTTTCACACCCACCCAAGTGCCATTCCACGGAAACCTGAGACTGTATCCTAGCATCTTGTGAGAATCAGTTCATTCCTTTACATTTCCAGAAAAACACTCTCGAGTTAGCGGTGCTTGATGCTAATATAAACCGACAATCACCGCAGGACAAAACGATAAATGTAACCTCGACGAAGACACACAGAACGAATCCAAAATGATTCAGAATAGACTTACATCTAATTTCCTCTCGCAAAATGAATTCATCCTGCTACCGTCCCACAGAGACAGCCTCGAAGTCATCATATTGAACGAATAATGAAAAGGCGTCAGACACACAATTCTGAGAGGCTTAGATAGTGACAACAAGGGCGTGGAGGACATAGAGCTTGGCGCAACCAAGACCGTGCGAGTCTTTCAAAGAATACCAATACTTGTCGACATATTGTGGTATTTTGCGGTGCGCATGCTACAAACAAGTAGGAAAGGCGGCTCAAACGACAACTAATTGCCGAGAGACATAATTAAGTCCACCGGATGACTTGCCGGCGACTCGATCGCTGGGTTGAGCAGTGGAAGAGGGGTAGTAAGACGATCCTCGGATAAAGCATAGCCCTGCAAACAGCCGGAAGAGCAGAAAGCAAGAGTACTGAGTGATGTGGAAATGAGAAATGGAGAGCGGGGGAAGAAGAAATGGCGAGAGGAGCTTTTCAGCTCCCAAGTCTTGTTTTCAAGGCTCTCTCGATAGCTCCTTCCACTCCCAACCCAATGAATTAACTCGTTTCTCGCCAGAGATCATTCGATCAGGTTTCTCCATAACCACACACAAGCGTCGATAACCAGAAGCTGAGAAGGTGTCCTTCGAGAGATGAGTGAAAAGCTATGGCAGCATCAACTGTTTCAGTTCGTGGATGTCGGTAGGTGAAGGCTATATCGGGATTCATGAGTTAGATTACGAGATTGGGTGAATCATTAACACCGAAGTTTGTTGTTGAGTCTCATTTATCATTAAGTTACAAAGCCATCCAACTCCTTCAGAAGCCTGCGAGGTCATTAGCCAAAAGTCTATAAATCACCACCGATACTCTCCACTTACCCTTCTCTGTGTTGCCCTCGCCCATACTCTTGCTGCTGCTACTGCCGCTCTGGATTGCCCCAAGAATGCCGTCAAGATAGGGCGCACCACTCCATTTCTGGTGTGTAAGAACATCCACGCCCAGCTCCTTCTCCCGAGCTTGAACCATGCGCACGTAAGCGAGCATACCGTCTTCCTTGAACGCCCGAGAGAGTTCTGTCGTGATAGTTGCGTTGCTGTGCAGTCCAGCGAGCGAGATGAGTTGAAGTACGAACCTAAGCAAGTTAGTCTTTCTGATCTTTAGAAGAGGAGTGGCTGACTGACCCGTGTTGCGCCAAATCCCAGATGAACGATTTAAGAGACGCTTCGTCGAAACCATGTCCCATCCAGTTGAAGGACGGACTCAGATTGTACACCAGCTTCTTACCGGGGAACGCCTTGCGCACCTCTCCTGCCAAAGACCCTGCTTTCGCAACGTCTGGGTCACCGGTCTCGACCCAGAGAAGATCCGCATACGGTGCGAACTCCCGTGCTCGCTTTGTAGCTGCGGGGAATCCAGCACGGTAGTGGTAATACCCTTCCCTGGTACGGGGACTATCACAAGACCAGACAACCGGTTTCTTTGTGTAATCGCTGGCCAGGACTCTGCGGCGGGAGATTGAAAGATCAGGGCTCTCTTGAACGCGGTTCTTGTATGCGTCCCGGGCGGACTGTGGAGCCTTTTCTGCTTCGAGATGTGCGTCGACGGCTATATCACGCCACGTGGTTAGTTCCAGAAGTTGAGAAGGGCGAGTGTAAGATCGGAAACAGACCTTCATCAAAGGTGACCAGCTTGTATTTCTTGACCCACTCAGATTCATAGGCATCGATCTCCGAAGGGGCAGCGCCCTCCCTCTCCATGGCCTGCAAAGTCTCGGCGAGTGGCTCAACCTCCTCCGTCACTCCAAGAATGAATTCGTGGTCGCGCACATCGATAGCACTGCTGATGAGCCGTCCACTTTCGGAGTCTGTGCGTGCGATAAGCAGGTTCTCGGTTCCCATCAGATCCCACTGGAAGCGAGCTGCGACCAATCTGTTGATATGCTCCCCGATGGGCACAAGTACCTTGCCAGCTAGGTGACCGCATTTCTTTCCGCCATGAAGCTGGTCCTCGAAGTGCACTGCGGCAGCGCCATTCTCTGCGAAAAGCTTGGCCAGCTTCAGTACTGCGGAAAGTCCACCATGTCTGTATGGAACGTTAACAATGCGATCATGGCAGAATCCGTCTAGGTGGGCACAGCACATACCCCGTATCACCGTCAGCCACGATCGGACGCAGGTAATCAACGTATGGAGTCGACTTCCGTTGCTCAGCGGTCAGCTTCCGTCTAGCGTCCCACTGTTTCCGATCGTGTAGCTGTTGCGCCTTGAACAATCGCTGGACTTGATTGGGTACTGTGTTGTATGGATAATCGCCGAAGTCAGGAGACACCTCGTTGGTCGTCGTTAGGAGTGACGAGCAAGCCCATCCCGAGATGTACAGGACCTCCTGGTGAGGTGCCTGCTGCGTCATCTGGACCGGGTCAATGGCGCCCACTTGGCAATAGTTAGCACACTAAGAAAAAAGAAATAATAAAGGCCGAGGAACCAATGCCGATACATACTCGTGTGAACCGGCTTTCCTTGCGCTGCCTTTTCATTCAACAGATGGAAAAGCTTCCGCGCCATCAACGAACTCGGGTATGTTTGTTGCAGGGAACCGCGTTTGCTGACAACATCTGCGGCGGAGTAAGGCCGCTTGATGCCCTCGAAGCGGGGAGATTGCCACCATTCTTCCACATCTGCTATTTGCTGTTCGTAGAGAGCATCCTCAGCTGCCCCGGTCTTGTCTGCTGTAGAGAGAAGTTGGTATGAATCCGCAGGCAACGTTGCTGAGACGGGTGGTTCCACGGGGGGGAGCGATGATGCCGACATCCGCGGATAACCGCATGTGAAGGAGCGCACAGCAAAGCGCGACAGACTGCCTTCAGTGACGGGTCGGGGAGGAATATGTCGAGGGAGCCGACGAGGGAAAGAGCGAAGCATCATTCAAAGAGTCGCGTTCAGATACCACAAGGTTTACGTTCTCTGTGGAGAAGGGAGGGATGTGTGTCTGGGGAGAAGGGGTCACTTTAAGGTGGCACTCGGTCCGAGCACCGTCGCAAGCCGGCCGATCAAACCAGCCTCGGTCTGGGGGCGGGCAATCCACACATCCCGCAATACCCGCTTATCCGGGGTGGCTGGTACTTACTAGCTTGAGAATAGTACCTTACACTATTACAGTATTGACTAGCTAGTCCATGACTGAAATCCGGGAAACAAGATGCAATACTAACTGAAATTGTATTTTTGTGGTTTCGGGTTTTTATCTTCCCATGAAACTTGTTCAGGCCCATCTGAATGGGAACACATACAGTAGGTCCAGCAGTGGGAAAGAACAGAACATATCGTTTGTGATAATGAAACAAGGTAATGAAGCCAGATCATGAAACAAGAGGTGATGCAGAGATCATCCGTGTGCTCGGAGCAACTTCCTCGTGATTATGCCTTGGCCCTACAGTTCAATAAGGCTTACTCGTGCCCCATTTCAATCATGAGGGAACGGAAGTTCTGGTTCTTAATAACCTTGCAGAACTCCTTGTGTTTGTTGATGTTCCAGCTGCCCGCCTTACAGCCCTAGTACAGAGTTAGCAGACTCATCTTTGACCATACTGATTCGATCTATCGAGGGAGGTCTCCTTACGCTGTTGCAGTATCCGATGACACCGCAGCCATCGCAGGTCGTGATGTGGTCAGGCTCATTACGACACCAGTGACACCTCTGATGGGCAGCAAAGTTCAGAGGCCAGGTTCTCATCTCATCACTGAGTTCCAGAAGCTCGTCCAACGAGGTTGGGATGATCTTGATTCGCATGGGTTAGCACCGGTTTACCAGGGAAGGAGCGTGATTGTCAGGGCTCAAACATCCATACCTTGAGTTGGCGATATTCGTAGACACGGATGCCATAAACCTCAATTCCGAACTGATGCTTGCGGGCCTGCATGATAACGATGGTATTTCCAACCTTCAGGTGCGGACACTGACTGAGAGCACGGCCTTGATCCGGTCCCTCGAATCGCAGGGTGACAAGGTGTAGATCAGTGCTGCGGCACCCGATGACGAGGTAGGGCATTGTCTCGAAAGCGAGGATCTCGAGCAGGAGACAGCCATCTATTCCGGGAGTCAATTTGTGGGTGTCGAGGTCCTCGATGGGGATAGCGGCAAAGCCGGGAAAGCGACTGGTGTCTCTGAGATCAGGGTACGAGATAGTCATCTTGAAGGGTAGCGTTGATAATTAAGTTGTAGGAAGTGATAATATTCTGGGGAGCGAGAAGGATGGGTGTAGATGGAGTTGTGGTCACAGAGGAAGTACTCACTAAGATGATGGGACGTGTTAGAAATGGGAAGGAGCGATGAACGACTCAGCGAACGACTCAGCGCTGAGATGAAAACTCTTCATTAGGATACGTTCACCAAGCTACAGCAGCCTAGTCAACATCTACCGTACTTAGTCACTGGATGCTGGACATTCTGAGCACTTTTGATAGCTTTGATCTCGATCTACTTATACTAAGCGCTTGCGAAGAGACGAATATGTCTTCTGCATGATAGACTCTCTGTTCAAGAAACCGCTCACATATTCTGCTAGGCAGGCTTCTGCATTGTATACAACTTTGCACAGTTATACAAGATTCTGTGGTTGAGGCGAGGATATGCTAAAGTTATAGTTAAGAAGACCAAGCCGCTAGCCAGCTATGCATACAATCACAAAGACCAACTACCAAGAACAACCACAAAGAGCACCTTTATTAAGAATAATATTCATATAGTCTACCTAGTATCAATCAGCTAGCTAGCCTATACACTCTACTCTCAATTGAACAAGTCTTAAGATATTAACAACTTGAACCTGTAAAGATACAGGATGTCCTTTCATTATAGGCGAAAGCGGCTGGTCCGCTTATATAGAGAGACTATCAATGCCGATGATACTGGAATATCACGTGGAGATCAGTCCTGAAATCCTCAAATTAAAATTATTGGAGTACTAAACACCCCAATCTATACCTGTTATATAGACGGATCGGTAGACCCAGAATGATCGTATCATGGCAAACGCGGGCACTTTGCCTTATGTCCTACAGAGCTTTGCAAAAGCACGCTTACAAGAACTAAAGAATTGAAATTAGCTTGCTAGGTTTTCGAGCACAACTACCTAGGCCATACATCCGCTATGCTGTTGGCTGACTCGAATATCTGGGAGCCTGAATCCCGCATGACGGCAGCCAACCGAGCTATGGCTTACTCTGGTCATACATCACATAAATAGTTCTTATTCCAAGGCCAGGGCTTGTATTATACTGGCTTTCTGATATAGCGGTGAAGACCAGCTGCACGCTCGTTCGTCTTCCGATTTGCCAATATGTAGGCGGATGCCGATACCTGGAATATCATATGAGACAGTAGCATCTCGAGTGTGCGTGCAGGACCGAGAATGCATCCACTGGTGCTATGCAGTTGACTTGCATGGTCTTACGTTGCGTCAAACCATTCAGTCGGTATCTGACTCTCTGACGTGTCAGGCCGAGATTCGTCTTTTGATTTAGGTATCCTTGCATTCCATTTCGATCTACGATTCATTAATGCCACGATGATTTTCTGCACAGAATTTCTCGCAGTAGACACGAAGCGAGTTTTATTGAGCTCCAATGAAGAGATTTCCAAGGCGCCCAAAAGGATTGGGAGAGCAGTGAAGCACAGGTTTGTGCAACAGCGCTAGCCTCTTGAAGGTTTTTGGATGAGCTATAGGATACCTAATATTGGCAGATGGCACATGATACCAGGCTATGGAGTAGTCTCACCGATGAACATGTCGGAGCATAAAAGCGGAAGGAGAACCTGGCATTTGGAAAAGAAATTGTAACCTTTGTTGGTCTTTCTCCAGACGAAGCTCAGGCAGAATCGAACCAAGGCGACATGTGTGGACTGACGGCGTTCTTAGGTCTGAACGGAGTTGATCGCGATGAGAGCACTACTGTGTCTTCCCACAGGCTGGCATGTCAGATAAACGACAGTCTAGACTTGGTCAAGCATAGAGGTCCTGATGCGCGTGGCCAGTGGATCAGCCCTGACACTCGAGTTGGTCGGTCAATCACTTCCTATGCTGTGAAAGGAGGTTAACATAATCTCAAGGATTCGGGCATGTACGCCTTTCAATCGTTGATCTTAGCCCAGCCGGAAACCAGCCTTTCCACAGTGAAGATGACACTATCCAAGCCGTCGTCAATGGAGAACTTTATGACCACGAGCGAATTCGAAGTGAGCTAGCCAACGAATATGAGTTTGTTAGCAAGAGTGACTGTGAGATTGTCATTGCCCTATACCACCGTTATGGACTGTCATTCGTCTCTCACTTGAGAGGAGAATTCGCTTTGGTACTTTGGGATGCGAAACACAACCGTTTTATAGCTGCGCGAGACAGATATGGCATCAAGTCGCTCTATTATACCATCATCGATGGAAGGCTTCACGTCGCAACTGAGATGAAATCTTTCTTGCCATTTGGATGGGTTCCAGAGTGGGACATTGCCAATCTTAAAGGAGTGGGATGGATGTATGGGGCGAAAATGTACTTCAAGGGAGTGCATCGTGTAAGTTGTCGATAAGAGACGAGCTGGACCGAAGCTGATGGCTATTTCTAGATCGAACCTGGTCAAATGCTCGTGAGTGACAACTTCCAGCCATTCGAATTGCAGACATACTGGGATTTAGAGTATCCCGACAAGGCGAGTAATATCCACTCCTAGCAGACTGTACGACGCTGATTGTATATAGAGGCTGGTATATGAAGGCACCGAAGCTGAGGCAGTCGCTCGAGTGCGAGAATTGCTGCTCGATTCGGTGCGGTTTCGACTTCGCGCCGATGTGGGTGTTGGTGTGTTCCTGAGCGGCGGGCTGGACTCGTCTGCAGTTGCAGGCATGACAGCGCATTTGATGAAGCAAGGAACAAGACTTGGAAATGAAACAACCGGTGATACCTCGAGGCTAAGCTGCTTCACGGTGCAATTCGAGAAAGAGTCGGGGATCGATGAGTCCGGTTTGTTTTCTCCCGAGCGAGAAACTTCTCCCCCTTATCTTCTCCGATCTGACACTCCATAGATATTGCTCGGCGGACTGCGAAGTGGCTTGGAGTGAATTTCCACGCAGTGTTGCTGGACGAAGAGACCATCGCGTCTCGACTGGAGGATACAATCTGGTACACGGAAACGCCGCTCCCTGATGTGGACGGGATGGGTCGACTGGCCGTTGCAGAGGCCGCTCACAACGCAGGAAAGAGAGTTGTTCTCACCGGCGAAGGATCAGACGAACATTTTGCAGGATACAGTGACCTGATGTGGAGCTATTTGAGTGAGCCAGACCATGCATGGCCCGCATCTTTACTAGCCGTCAACGGCAGCCGAGAAGAGATGGAGGCTACCGTCAATCAGAGAATGGCACAAGCGGTAGCAAAGGTAACCGCCAAGTCAGGGACTGAACATAGTCTCAGCCACACCTCTATATTTCCAGCACTTGCTTGGTTCAGTCAATTACCCTTTCAGGCATGGACAGAGAAATGCACCCAAGGTGACCCAGAATTGTCCTTTTTCCGAAGCTTTCGTGAGAAGACTATCAACGACATGGAACAGAAATGGCACTCGCTAAATTCATCTCAATACCAGTGGACCAAGTCAATGCTGGCAAATGGTATTCTTCGATATATTGGCGACAATATAGACATGGTTTTTCAGGTGGAGACGCGGCCACCGTTTCTCGATCATCGCCTCACAGAATATGTGAATACTATACCGCCAAGTCTAAAGATAAGATATGATCCAGAGAGAAAGATCTTTCGTGAAAAGCATGTTCTTCGCGAAGCCATGAGACCATTCATCACCGAAGAGGTTTCGAATCGCGTGAAGCAACCATATCTTGGTCCAACTAAATACAAGGAAAATGGACCTGTGTATCACACTTTGAAGCGGTTACTTACAGAGACCAATGTTCAGAACCTGGGCTTTGTTGACTGGGGCAAGGTCCAACAAACCTTCACACGCGCATTTTGTGACGATGACCCCAATGCTTTTAGAAGTACTCTCTTTGTGGCTCAACTTGTGGTATTGGCCCAAAGATTTGGAGTAAAACCGGCAAGCGCGATTTAGCATCCGTCTTCATTAGAGATAAGTCATAGGTGAAGCCGAATTCCATTCCTAAATTTCTCGGTCAGCCAGATATAATGAAATAAAATGGTGCAGCTAGCTCAGATAGTTTGTTCACTTGCTGGGTACAAGGTTGATGAATTGGAGACCCCGTGGACTGGACCAAGAGTGGCTTATGAGAAGCCCCCATCGACTCTAGAACAAATCCTTCATCAGCACTGAAACTGGTAAGTATTGGAGATCATGAGTGGCCTACTCATACTAAAAGACTGGGCAGAGTCAGAGTCGCGCATGTCGCTACAAGGTGATCACGTTGCTCCCTGAGCACGTTTGCTATTTCCCCCCACACACTTCGCAATCAACGTCGCGTGAGTTGAGATGCTGAGGTCTGAGAATCAAGTGGCGATGCCTCGCAAAGATTCCGGCAGCTTCTATGTCCCCTGCCACTTGATGGAAGGCTTGGGTCCTGTCGCCAGGGTGGGTCATCAGTCCGTGGGTATCTTATGTCTGAAACCAAACCTGGCGAGCGATGTCGGAGACTCAAATGGGGTCTGCTTGGCTATGCCCACTACTCTCATAGCACCATGTAATGCTAACTACGATACTTGAGTAACGAGGCTTTAGGTATTGACCTTCTATTATCTCTGTGCACTGAAGGTGGTTTCAGAGGACTCGGACCAGAATGTTTGCATCATCTTTCTGCCACCTCTCTGATAGCGTGCGGAGAACTTATCGGACCCCTCGTTGATCGACTACCTTGCAATCCCCACTCCGCTTCCGTATGGGGGTCCAAGAACCAACCGAAGCTCGACGATAATGAGCGCGCGGCAGAGGCGACATATAGCGTTCGCCTCTCAACGACGGTCCCTCCTATGAAGTTGAAACATACGTCATGTGTCATCTTCGTTCGAGACATATTCATGAACTCAGCCTTATGTTGAAACATGGGTCCAGGATATACCAATTCTGCTGCAAGTGCTCGCTCGATATCTCTCAGGTAACCAGCACTGCATACACTCCGTTCATCTGTTAACGATCTCAATGGCATAGAAAGCTTAATTGTCACACCTGATGTCGCAATCTACTGCGAAGACTATGAACGACTAGGATTATCTAGGTCGCTAACAGTCGTTGCTTGGGCAGGAGTTTAAATTCTGCCACAAACAGTGCAACAAACACGAGGTTGGTAACTATCTCGATGGCCCATGTCCATCCCAGGCCAGTGGGTCTTTCCGAAGCTGAAAGAAAGGACTGTCCAACATCGTTCAACATGCGATGACCCTGCAGTGGAGGTCTAGAATCAAAGCATGGCACTTGAGCTCGTGGAGAATCAGTTGACGGTCTGGTCGACTGACCACATACCTTCTTGAACCGAACCATGTGTGATCAGCGACCCCCTCACATATGGCTTTGCGCCGAGGATTGGGTGTCGGAACTTTCGAAGACGACTGCTGGCTAGACTTTCTCTTTGTCCAACCTAAGCAAGTGTCCGACCGTCGAAGGGAGAGAAATGTACAGTACATAGTAGCAAGGGTTAAAGTGTTGATACTAGTTCTTTGTTTTCGGTTGAATGACTCCACTCCGCGGAAGCTGCGGTAGTTACGCTGCTTGTTGTATGCAGTGTCAGACTGCGAAAGACATCCGATCAAAGATATATGCGGATTCGCATGGAACAGTAGTCTAGTGAGTGGTTGAAAGAGGTCAAGGTAATGCAATCGACTGCAACTGTACAGAAAGTACCGAGGCGGGATGGTCACGGGGATCTCCTCCCACCATTCCGGGTAGCCGTGACCAGTCGAACCTCGCCGATTCCTCTCGTTTCTCCAACCCGCTCTTCGTGTGGCACCCCCTCAATTTCCTGCCGACGACTGTGGCCTCCTGCGCGCTGGCCTGCATCCCCCTGCAATGGGACTACTGGGAAAGCTATATTCTATTCCGTTGTTCTTTGGACTGCCTGCCTTGAAAGATTGGTGGATCGATGGTTGGGACGGACTGAGGTCGTGGGGGATGTTGATTATGGGAATGGATTGTTGTTTGCCTCCACCCCCCCTCCCCCTCCATCTCCATCTATCATCATCGAATAATGCAGGAAGTGAACAATTTCCAGCTCCAATCGTTCTGGCTCCAATGCAAGCCCGACTTTTGTCTGAGCTCCTGCCTTAAACCGACGAATCCGCGTTGTACAACTCGCACCAGCTGTCTCCGCAATCTGCTGCTCTAGTGCGACTCTTATCACCCTCATGGCGCTTTCTCCTCACTGTCCGGGGCCTTGTCGGGGCACTGAGTTATCTATCATCTACCCACACCTTTCCTATCTCCGCTGCTTATTCTGCCATCTGGCTCTTCTAAAGAGCCTTATCTCGTTCACAACCCGGATCGAGCAGATCGTGATTTCTTGCTCCTTCGCCCGCCTAGATTATACTCTGCGGCATTATTCTCCCTGACCGAATAAACAACCAAACTTCTAGCCTTCTCTCCTCTCCATCGCATACTACTACGTTAAACTTGGCGGAGTCCATGTCATCATCAGGTCTAATTTGGGCATGGAACACATTAAGATCCCTTCCCCGTCTGCGATCTTAGACATTCAACCTTCGCCTCCGTCAACAGAAGGGCCTTCTAAGCCTCCTTCTTCCTCTCAGAGGTCCACCTCAAGCCAGCCTGGTGTCTCCAGGGATCCTAACAAACCGAAGCAGTCAAAAAGCCGTAACGGTACGGTACCATTCATTCCTAGTACCCTAATGAGACGACAGACGGGAACAGAGTTGTTCTCGGGTGAAACTACAGCATCAGAGAGAAGGCGGCACAGACGTTCTCAGGGTGCGCAGTGCGCTGACGTTCTTATCATTACTATAACCCAGGCTGTATTACCTGCAAGGCAAAACGATTGAAATGTGACGAATCCAAGCCGACGTGCCTTCAATGTAAGAAACGGAAGGTGGAGTGTGGAGGATACAAGAAAGATTTCAAATGGCGCCCTTTCGAAGAGACTAACGTTGGCTGCAAGAACGTGTCGACGAAAAGCAAAAAAGGTAGCCCTACTTGATATGGAATCGTTGGCTTTTGTAGATTGCTGACATGAACGTCCCAAAGCCATCTCATCACCCCCGGGTCGGAAGTCTAGCCTTGACTTTTCTACGTCTCCGGACTCGCAGTTCACTGAGGGGTGGTCGAGAACCCTGTCTAATTCTTTGCCTCTCTTCTCACCAGGGAGTGAAAGGTCTGCACTCGCGCTTGGCTTTTCGAAAGGGGATGAGCCGACTCCAGGGCGTGCAAAGGTGGATGCAGTACCAAAGCAACATCTCTTTGTCCCTACGGATGATCTCATAGGCCCGCTAGATATAGCAAGCCTCAATGAAGGCATCCTAGCCCCATCACTAATCGAGATTCCACCCCTGGAGCCATCCTCCTATATTTCCGATGTGTCACTGTCTAATGCGGGGATGCAATCTAGACCCACCCTAGGTGGCGTTTCCCAGCACGACAGCCCGCCAAGGCACCACAGTTTTAGCTTTGAGGCCTTAATGGAGGTCGAAAACGATGACATTGAGGAGATTATAAGGAAGTCAGAACTTCCTCTGGGGTCGACTTTCTTAAACAGCACAGAGTGCATCAATTCTGCGCAGGCCAAGAATACAAATCTTACCCCGAAGATCCTCTCAGAGCCAAATTTTAGCATGGTCAGTCCCGAAATGCTGGTGTTGCAGTTCGACAGATTCACATGTGGGATCCTGTCTGTGAAGGACGGTGCCCACGAGAACCCATGGCGGACACTGATTTGGCCCCTAGCCAAGGAGACCCCAGCGCTATATCATGCCGTATTTTCTCTAGCGGCTTTTCACTCCAGCAAGGAGATCCCCAGCCTCAGGGTTCATGGGATGGATCATATGCGGCAGAGCATCACCTACATGGTGCACGACATACAAAATATGAGAGCAGATGCAGCCTTGGCCACGAGTCTCGCGCTGGCATTTGCGGAGACATGGGATCAGCATACGCGCACATGTATCCAGCACTTGCGGGGAGCCAAGGCGTTGGTGTCACAGGTTGTAGGATTTGGTCTTCAAAGCGGGATGTGCGGCAGTGACCTGGATAGAATTCGGTTTCTGTATAACACCTGGCTATACATGGATGTGATTTCTCGCCTGACATCCCGGGAAGAATCCGGGGATCAGGAGGTAGATACCTCTGTTTTCCAGTTGCCCAAGGATGCAGTGCACGAGATCGACCCTCTAATGGGTTGCGCGACAACCCTTTTCCCGTTAATCCACCAAGTCGCGCGCCTGATCCAGCGAGTTCGCAGAACCGAGTCCAACTCCCTCTCTATTGTCTCGCAGGCCATAGAATTGAAGACCCTAGTTGAGCAATGGGAGCCCCCCCGCTGCTTCGAACCCCCAGATGACCCCACGTCGGAGGTACAGCATAGTATCCAAACCGCACACGCTTACCGCTGGGCGACACTGTTGTACCTTCACCAAGCGGTTCCTGAAATGCCCTCCGAGCCAGCATCGGAGCTGTCCAAGCGTGTCTTGATGCTGCTGGCCACAGTTCCCCCCAGCTCCCGTACCACCATCATCCAAATGTTTCCTCTTTTGGCGGCTGGGTGTGAAGCAGAGCAAGAGGAGGATCGCCAGTGGGTGCTAAATCGATGGCTAGCAATCCAATCACGTCTCATGCTTGGGTCTATTGATCGTTGCATCGAGATTGTCCGAGAGGTTTGGGATCGCCGCGATGCCGCGGGGCTTGAGCAGTCCGATCATTTACCCACGAAAAGGCTTCAGATTGATAAGACAACAAATGTAGGCCGTGGGTCAGGTGAGCGTGGCTTCACCAGCAGCTTTGCTGAGCCTTGGAGAAGATCGAGTATGGCCGATCGGGTACCTTCTAAGGGCTCTTTGGGGAAGCCACGACGGACCTCGGCAATCTCTCCGCTGGAAAATATCGAATTTGATAGGACTGTTCGTGGAAATTTGCATTGGGTCAATGTGATGCAGGAATGGGGTTGGGAAGGTAAGATATCTTGTTTGCATTTCTTCTGGTTTCCGTTTTGTTTTTCTTGGGATCATGCACCCAAGAAAGCCTCTCGTTCATAATCTTGCGACGGCCATCGGCTCATATGTACAGTGTTTTTGGGGTAAAACTTCACTCAAAAAGCGATCTTCATTATCAGCAGATTGAGCACGGTGGATCCTCCACGGTTGATCTCCGCGGGCCAGCACGACTGTTGTCTCTCCCTCCTTTCGAGCTTGCCTGCTCGCGTTGCACCGTCCGGCGCTCCGGAAGTCGAGGAGTCTCGGTCGCACTGTCTTCGGAATCCGCTTCGGCTTGGTGCGGAGGCCTGCTCTGGGTCAAGTACGACCGGAGGGAGGCCAGATATGGCTCTAGGTCGCTCGTCATGGCCACTGTCGCCATTGTTGCGCGGGGCTGTGGAGCGGCCTCTTTGGGATCTGCGGAATGTGCGGCGAGCACCACGCAGTGGGTTTGTGACTTCTTGAGGGTATAGCTCATCCTCAAAAAAATCGTGGGCTGGGCTTACAGATCTGGACTGGGAGTGATTAGCATGGCGTTCCAGAGTTTTGGGCTTTTGTTTGTGGTTTGGTTGAGCGAAGCAATCACATTCTATACGGCCTTGAAGGCAAATTCCCAAGGATTATTGCTGCAATGGGGTTTCTTTTGTAGTTGTTGCGAGGGACTTTGGCACGGAGTTTTGGCGCGTAGGACAGGGCCAGATGCCTGAAAGGAGCTTGTCGCTGTACGGAGAACGGAGACAGGATCGCTAGGAGTATGAAGTATGTTGCTATCGACCCTCAAGTATCTCGATCGGCAGTTGGCGCGGTGGACAGTGAACGGCTGATCGAATACAACTGTCTACTTGAGATATACCGTACCGGTGGGGAGGGAGATTGCTGAGTCCTTCAAGCTTGTGTCTGTCGCCTGGGTGCTCTCGCTGGATGATTGATGACTGCACGGGATGGTACAGAGGACGGTCACAATTCGCATAGGGCGGATTTTTTCGCGTGCGGGGAATGGGGCGAGATTCGACCGATGGAGTTGCTTGGGCTGTTTGGTGTGTTGCCTTTGATAGTGTCGTGAGTGCTGATAAATCGTCTCTCTCGCAATCAGCTACAAAAGACTGAATAGAGGTCGAGGGGGCGGGGAGGTAAAGAGAGGTAGTAATAGCCAGATCAAGCGGGTGGTGAGAATAGAACACTATTTAACACAGTCTGAAGTGTGGGTGGGACCCGACGCCGCGACAACCTCGGACTTCTCCTCCCTGTGATTTTCGACGTATAAGGAATAGTACTTTTAACCTGTTATGAGGGGGGGGAAGAGACCAAGGGAAGATTTGACTTTTGATGGGCTGATTCGGATGATGATGGTGCGAGCCTGGAGAGTGTGTGAAAGAGAGAGAAGGGGAGTGAGTGGTGTTGGATGACGGCAGAGGTGCATGAGCAATACTTGTGTGTGTGGTGCTTTAGGGAAAGGTCAACAACACCTTAGTTTTGGGGGATGTTGTGCTGTGCTGTGGGTGCTGTAGCAGGAGAGGAGGTGGGTGCGAAAATGGACTGGCTTGCGGAGCAGAATACAGTAGGCATAGCCGCAGGCAGGCCGTGAGGATGGAGGGAGAGACAGGAAGAAAGGACCGAATGCCCTTCTAGTTAGTTAGGTGTTTGGTTACTTGCTTGGGCCTTCGCTTTCCTACACCTGCACAGAGTGCTTAGGACTAAGGTGCGCTTCGCTGTATTGTCTTTCTAGATGGTAGAACTGGCATGCACGGGCCAGTCTGTGCTGTGTCTCTTGGGTCTGCAGTGCGCCCACCCCACTCACTCATCTGCTTTACCTTCACGACTGCACTGATGAGGTCGCTGGACTTTTCTCAACAATTCATCGCATTCAGACCTAATGCGGCCAAGGTACGGAGGACAGTATAGTGAGAGCCTGGAGCTGTTCGCGACCTTCCTTCCCTGGCAGTAATCAGTTGGATACGGTATCTGACTTAGGTTGGTGAGGTGATAAGATAGAAGTACTGTAGATAGCGAGTGAGGGGGAGGAGGGTCTATCGCCCATGCATGCCCTGCCCACTTCACTCACTCACTAAACCTCCACCTGACAAGCAGCGGAAGTACTAACCCGTCCAGGCAAAAGTTTCCTGTCTGCGGTCCAGCTCTCTATCAATATCCACCGTGGACAAGCAAAGATCCTGCCCCTCTCGCCTTTCGCCTACACCACCACCGGTATCTACTTTCTTTCAGTTCCTGCAACCCCAAGCTCCAGCGACCTGGCTAATATCTCCCATCCAGGTCAGTAGAACAGCAGACCAGTCCACAGGTAAAGAAAGCACTAACTCGCCTCGAAAGCTGTACAGTACTGTACCCCTCATCCAAGCAATGAGAGCCTCTCTCTACCCCTCATTTGGGAGAACGAGGAACCCATCGTGAATCTCCTACTGTAGAAGGTAGATCCGTGCGCCATGGTGGTGGTCTCTCTCTTTTCCCTCAGAAGGGCAAAAGAATTGAGATTCTCATTATCATTATTACACTTAATCAGAATGATTGCGATAATAGTCGGCATGGGATGGCTCGAAGGCATCAATCAGTCTGATGGTAGATTTGTTTTATAAAAGAGCAGCAGCATCCCCTGGGACCATTGATTCAGATTCAAAGTCATCAGATCTAAACAGTAATTAATCCATCGATCCTCTCTTTACTTATCCTGCCTACGCACGTGTTCCACATTCATACAGACAGACCAATCAATCTTGCAAAGATGCCCGTCGCGTTCAGATACCACCAGCAGGCGCAGTCGACGTTCAAGCCTCCTCTCATCGCGAACGAGAATGCCTTCCTGGGGGACGTGGATTCATCGTACGTTTTTTTTGTCTTTGTTTTTGCTGTGTCGTTGCTATTCTGTTTTGAGATAAATCAATTCGGATTTGCCTTTTGCCAGTGATGCAGGCGTGCGCACAGTCCCCATCTCATCTCCCTCTATGCAAGGGTAGTGGTGGTTGCTCGGTTGCTTTTCTGGCTGGTTGCTAACCGGATGAAACAACCACCTGCAGGGACGATTACAACCCGGAGAAACCCATGTCGGCCGGCTTCTATCGCCTGGAGAAGGGCACGCCGCTGACCTACGAATACTCCTACGACGAGATGAAGATTATCCTCGAGGGGGAGTACGAAATCTCCGACGAAACCGGGCAGAAGGTCACGGCTAAGCCCGGCGATGTCTTCCACTTCCCCAAGGGTGCCAAGATCACCTTCACCACTCCCTCCTATGGGCTGGCTTTCTACGTATGTGCCGAGTTTTCTCCTCTCGCTGCCCACACTCCTCATTGCCGACCGATCGATTCAAGAGAAAGAAAGAAAAAGTCACTAACTGCAATGGGAATGGCAGACGGGTCAACGGGCCAAGGGCGTCTTGTAAAGAAGCTGGGATAAAATGAAGAAAATAGTGATGATGATGTCATTTCTGATGCCTTGGCCTTCCTTGCTGGATCAAAGGACGGGAGGGCTGAAGGATTTCAGCCTAGACCAAATGATGATAAGAGTGAAAAAAAGAGCGGAAGAGAAGAGGTTGGGTTTTTGTGCCGTCGATAAATGGGTCACATCTCGATCCATGGTTCATCGGAGGGGATGGGCCCCATTTGCCCTCGCACCTTTCCAAGTTTGTTGACGGCCGTTGCCCAGAGATCAATCAACCCAGAAAAATAAAACAAGGCAAAGGAATGACGAGGATACGATCAGGCATCTGAGTTTAATCAGCTGGTATGGAAGTGCATAGTAGAAAGCAGAACAATGAACACATGCGAGACACTTGAAACATCTGGGATCTGACTGGGATTCATTCCGGTATTGTAGTCGTACGTAGTGATGATTGCCGGGGAGACCTCGTGCACAGTCGGTAGTAACTAGTCATCTGTCCCCCTCGCAGGGGAAGGGGTGTGGGGAGTGGGATGGATAGACAGGCACCGATGTTGTGGAGTGGAGATGGAGAGAGAGGGTGAGAAACGAAAATGGTATCGGTCGGGCTCATCTCATTCTCGGATGACAATGGATGAATACTCTACCTCATTCTCTCGACTCTCTCTCTCTCTCTCCCTTCTCTGTATGTTGCAATTCGTATCATCCCTATTGTTAAAAATCATATTGTCAAGCACATCCACCTAGTAAGGGGAGCCTATCGGTCCCAATCTCCCGTCCACTTTATCCTGTCACCATCCGATCGGACCCATGGATCGCGGTCGATCGGACTAGATATCAATTGACCCATTGAAATGCCAGCTGAAAGTCGACAGGACTAGGATTATGGATCTGGTACCTGCTCGGGATTCCTCCTCAGCCTCACGATTCCCCCAATCAATTAGCCAGGAACAAGATTTAGATTGCTGTGCAATATCGCAATGCCAATGAAGATCGGAACAAGGGAGTTGACCCGGCAACCGTCAGCTCCTCGAGGGGTACTGCAACCCATCGGAGGATTCTCGTTGGCTGACAGCCACGGGGGGGTGGAGAGAAGGGCAGGTACGGAGTACTCGAATAAGAAAAGAGGTGGAAGAAGAAGCCGAAGGGGAGAGAGCCTGAGAGGGAAAAGAGGGAAAAGAGGGAAAAGAGGGAAAAGACCAAGAGAATTTGGAAGAGTCCACAATAGTCCAGAAAAGGCAGGTGGTGGACTGGACCTGGTGGTACTAAATGGTGTGTGGCTGGCTCAACCTGTCTATAGGCGGGGAACTGCTGCTATTGCTGCTACTAATTAACTTACTGCTATTAACGTTACTGCCACTGTTGCTCTTTACTCTTAAGAGCTCTGGTTGCTGGCTACTGCCATTTTTACCAAGGGGGAAGAAAAAAGAAGGCATCATCATCGGGGCGCCTTAAGCTACTAGTAACTACTCTTACTCTACTCTACTCAAGTTCTTCTACAACCTCAGCGCTCCTTCTTCTCTTCTTTCCTCTTCTCGCCTCTCCCCTTCTTCTCCTCTTCTTTACCCTCACTAGCTTTGCGCACAGTTTCAGCTCGCCCCAGTTGACTCAAACGCAAGGCCTACAATAAGAAGCTCTATTATCATTCCATCAAATCGACTGATCTTTTCTGCTCTATCCCTTCGTACCCAACGAGGGCGATTCAGATTGTCCGATACTCGTGGCGCTGCGTTGCTGCTTCAATCTGGCCTTTTTTTTTGGCTTTTTCCCTAATTTCAGTTTCTCTCCCCTCTTCTAGCGCTCTTCTGGTCGTGACTTAACGTGCGCCTGTCTCCCCTTGTGTGGTTGGGAATTCTCCTAAATCCCCGGGTTACTTTTGGTCACCAGCTGTCCCGGTCGGCGGAGTCACACATCGGGCACCCAAGGACCACGCGATTGCTGATTGCGCCCGTTTCGCCCGTCCCTGAGCTTCTGCTCTTGCGCCCATCATGGCTCTCAACATTGACACAAGTGACCGATCCGGGTTCCGCCTCCCACATCCGCCACCCCTCCTTCATACACGTGCCGGCAACGAACTGCTGGATCGTCCTTCGACGCCGGCCGAGACTGCCTTCACCAGCCCCGTTCAGACCCCTCAAGGAAGCCCCAGCAAGAATCGTCTGCCCCCCGGCGCGATCGATCTGCCCAATGTATTTGAGAAAGCTCTGAAATTGAATCCCACCTCGCCGACGAAGAACACAAATAACCACTACAACCATCCCATGTTCTCTCCGCCCCGGGCGGGGGAGGATTTCAACGAGAGCGTCATCCGACAACCGCCCGCCAGCCCTACGCGCAGATCCAATAAAGAAAACACGCCTCCGAACTCGACGCGTTTCGCTAAGGATTTGGGCCCGAACCCTGCAGCCGCCGCGATTTCCAGAAATGAGCCATACCAAACCCGTGATTTGGAGAGCATCCAGCGGCGACAGGTCCCCATGCGGGGTCTGACGCCGGAAGAGCTAGAGAAGCTCCAGAACCCCCGGGTCAAGCGTCTTGTCAACGTCACCCAACTTTGTAGGTCTCCTGTTGAATCTTGTGCATCCGAAGCGTTTCCGCCCATCGTACTGACTACGTAGATTTCCTCGATCATTATTTCGATCTGCTGAGCTATGTCCACAACCGACAGAATCGATACACGCAGTTTCGCGCCGCGCACCCGGAACCACCCCTGACGTCGATGGAGGAATACGAACCCGCACTCATGAAATACTTGGGTCGGGAGCGGGCCCACCTTCGCAAGCGCCGAACCAGACTTCGCCAGCATGATTTCCAAATATTGACACAGGTCGGACAGGGAGGATACGGGCAGGTTTACTTGGCACAGAAGAAGGATACGCGGGAAGTGTGCGCGTTGAAGGTGATGAGCAAGAAGTTACTCTTCAAGCTGGACGAAATCCGCCACATCCTCACGGAGCGTGACATCTTGACAGCGGCCAAGAGTGAGTGGCTGGTGAAGCTGCTCTACGCTTTCCAGGATGAGGATCAAATTTACTTGGCGATGGAATATGTCCCGGGCGGTGATTTCCGCACCTTGTTGAACAACACCGGAGTGCTGCACAACCGCCATGCTCGGTTCTACATCGCGGAAATGTTCAGCTGCATCGATGCGCTCCACGCACTGGGATATATCCACCGCGATTTAAAGCCCGAGAACTTTCTGATTGATTCGACCGGTCACGTGAAGTTGACCGACTTTGGCCTGGCAGCTGGAATGCTGAACCCAGGCAAGATCGAATCTATGCGTGTGAAGCTGGAGGAGGTGGGTAACACTCCGGTGCCGTTCGGACGTCCGATGGAACAGCGCACGGTGACAGAGCGTCGCCAAGGCTATCGGTCGCTTCGTGAGCGGCAAGTCAACTATGCGAAGTCTATTGTCGGATCACCAGACTACATGGCGCCCGAAGTCCTCAAGGGAGAGGAGTATGACTTTACGGTGGATTACTGGAGCTTAGGATGCATGCTGTTCGAAGCATTGGCGGGTTACCCGCCGTTCGCGGGATCGACGGTGGACGAGACCTGGCAGAACCTGAAGAACTGGCAGAAGGTGCTGCGCAAGCCCGTCTATGAAGACCCCAACTACTTTCTGTCGCGCCGGACATGGGACCTGATCACCAAGCTGGTTGCTGCCAAGGACCAGCGGTTCAAGAACATCCAGGAGATCCATTCCCACGACTACTTCAGCGAAGTCGATTTCGGTCGCTTGCGCGAGCAGCGTGCGCCGTTTGTGCCCGAGCTGGATTCGGAGACGGACGCGGGATATTTCGACGACTTCACGAATGAGGCCGACATGGCCAAGTACAAGGAAGTTCATGACAAGCAACGGGCCCTGGAGGAGATGGCGGAACGCGACGAGAAGATGGGCAAGGGCCTGTTTGTAGGATTCACATTCCGGTGGGTTGATGTTGTCTCCTCAGTTGCCAAACGCCATTACTGATTGTGAATAGACACCGCAAGCCTGCCATGGATGGCATGGGACGCAGTTCCCCGCGCAAGCCGATCGCAACGGACGGCAGCTTCGGCACGATGTTCTAGTTTTCTTTTGCATGGGTCCATTCTAGCACGAGCTGGGTCTCGGGTCGGAGTTCAATTGAGCGAGTATGACATGATATTTTAATGGCTATGGCATGGGGATGGCATGGAAAAAGCAGCACGAGTATTTGCCAGAGAATAGGAGGGGAGAAGTGTATGATACAGCGTATCGTAGAAATACATGCCTAACGGTCTGCAAGCATTTGGGAGTGGTGGTGGTGGTCGTTGTAATACCGTCCTCCTTTCTTCAAGCATCAATTCTCGTTGATTTGCTGCACCATCTTCAAAATCTCCGACTCATTATCCCCAACAACCGCCTGCCCATTCGTCCAATCGACTGTCTATAATAGAAGAAGAAAAGGTTAGCACAACTGATCCCATACGCCCCAAACCCAGTAATCCTCCCTCCCTCTTATCCCCCCTCCCAAACCCCGAGATGTAAGGTGTAAGAGGTAAGTAAACATACAATCGGCCTCACAAACGTCCCCTCGGGATCCCCCTTGAACCGCCGAATCGCCTCCTCCGCATCCTTGGCCCCGCGCACCACCTCCCCGACGGCACACCGCGACCCCTTGTCCGGCGCCCCCGCCCCAGCGGGGTTCCCGGTGACATAGTCCAGGATGTTGCGCAGCTGGTCCGTCGTCGGCGGCGCCGTCGTCACCTCCAGCTGGAACTCGCCGCGCCCGCCCGCCGGTGCGTCGGGCGATTGCGCCTGCGTCGACGCCCGCTGCAGGATCTTGTACGCGTTCTTGCTCGCCGGGTTGCTGGGCGTGTGGAAGAGGGTTATCGGGTCGAGGGTTTTGGCCTTGCGGGGGGGG